CAGACGGCAGACGTTAGGCTGTGGCTTTTGCTTCTTTGGGCTGTGGGGAGATGGCTGGTGCGACTGACGTCCCTTCGTACTCCTCACGTACCCGTCCCCCGGGGTGTTCACAGCAGGAGGACAAGGAGGGCTTCGAGAAGATCAACATGAGACCTGGCAAGGTACAGGGAGCGTGGTGGGGCTGGGCTGGGCTGGTAGGGCATGGTGCGGTGCGGTATGGCAGCACCTCTCCGCTGTGTCACCTCCTCCCAGATCATCCTCTTCTCCGAGGCCGGCTTCGCAGGCCAGAAACGGGAGATCTGGGGTGACGTCCCCGACGCCACGTCCTGGGAACTCTCGCACACCATCTCCATCCGGGTCATCCGAGGCGGGTAGGGGACGGCAGCAGGGCGAGGACACGCGGTGAGGATGCGGAGGGAGGGCTCGGCTGGGGCTCCTGCTCTCCCTGTGCCAGGGATGGTGGCCGGGTCCCAGCCTGGGGTTCAGGAGCGACCGTCCCACCAGTGCTAATTACTGTGGCTGCGATCCAGCATCGTGGCGGTGGCAGGACGTCCCCACCCACACTCTGCCCCGAGGCTCCCGATGGCTGTGGGGCTGCGGGTAAAAGCAGAAATTCCTCCCTCACCCCTCTTTGCTCCCACCCCGCTCCCAGGTGGGTGATGTACGAGAAGCCGCGGTTTCACGGGCGCAAGTGCGTGCTGGCCGAGGGGGACGTGGAGATCGACAACCCCTGGACAGCGTACGGGCAGAGCGAGCAGTCCCGCGGCAGCCGGCCCTTCCGCATCGGCTCCTTCAAGAGAGTGGTGCGGGTGAGCACAGGGACCCTCTTGAACCTCCTGCTCCCCCTCCATGTGTCCCAGCACCCGCCAAGTTGGGGGTGCTGGACCCCCGTAACGCTGCTCTGCCCCATGCCAGGATTACCGCACCCCGGAGATCAGCCTGTTTGCAGAGGAGAATGGTGAAGGCGCTCGGCTGACGTTCACCGACTCGGCCGAGGACACTCGCACGCAGGGCCAGGCACTCGCCGCCGCCTCCATCATCGTCCACTCAGGCCTGTGAGTGGGACCGTGGGGCCAGGTGGGCACTGGGTGGGCTCCAGCATGGGCTGGAACGGGGCGTGATGCTTTCCTCCTCTTCCCCAGGTGGCTGGTTTACTCCAAGCCTTTCTTCGATGATGACCCCTACGTTTTGGAGCCGGGCGGGTACCCCAATTTAAAGGCTTGGGGAGCAAAGGACCCATCCATCTGCTCCATGCACCCCATCAGGCTGGTGAGTACCAGTTGCTGGGGCACGGTTACTGGGGTGCCGGGGCTGCATCCAGCCCTGGGCATGACAGGCGAGAGCATCTCCTGGTGGTTCCCGGCTCGCATCAGTGAGAGCTCGGTGTGGATATGTGCCGAGCATGGCTCTGGAAGGTGCTCCTGTGGGTTAGTGGTGAAGGAAAGCAATGAAACAAAGTCTGAAAGAGCTTATTCTTGAATGAAAATGACTCAAAAAACAACTCAGACTTTAAAGGGGGGGAATGAGATTTCCCTGTGCCATCCCCTCCTGCCACCATAGCCTCACTGGGGCTCCTTCTCCTTCCAGGGCTGCCCTGTCGTGGAGAGACCCGGTGAGCCGCAGGTGAGTGCTGGGCCAGTGCCCGGCGAGGCTGTGGGTCTGGGATGACCATGGGACCACGCTCACCCCGCCGTGTCCCCAGGTGCTGATCTATGAGGCCGCGGGTTTCCAGGGCCGCAGCTTTGCCATCAGCCGAGACATCTATGACCTGAAGCGCCTGCCCGGGCCAGCACTGCCCACCGTGGGCTCCCTGCACGTCCTGGGTGGCTGGTGAGCGGCGCAGGGTGGGCAATCCCAGCTGGAGCAGGCTGGGAAGGTGACGATCACCCCCAGGAAAAGGCCTGGAGGGGCTGTCTGGGGCTGTGGGATGGCGGCATGCAGTTTGGGGGAGAGGGGTGGCACTGGCACAGCGTGGATGGTGTCCCCATATCCCGGCACGTGGAAATCCTCTTGAGACCTCACTGCCCACATCTGCCTGTGCCACAGCTGGGTCGGCTACGAGAAGGAGGGCTTCCGTGGCCACCAGTACCTGCTGGAAGAAGGGGAGTACCAGGACTGGAGGCAGTGGGGCGGCTACAGCAAGGAGCTGGTGTCCCTACGGCTGATACGGACGGTGAGGGCAGGGGTGGTGGCATCGCTTGGGGACGGACTCAGTGTGGAAAGGGAGAGCCAACCCCCACCCAGTCCCATCCTCATCCCCCAAGGGGAGCCTTCCCTGCCTGCAACAGGCAGCTGGGACCACCTGAGATCCCCCAAACCCATCACACGCAGAGCTGTAGGTGCCCAGAGCTGCTCCCACCCTCCCCAGGGTCCCTTGAGAGCAGCCGGCCCCGCAGCCCCTTCCCCCCGACAGATCGAGGGACTCTCCTTCTCCCCGCAGGACTTCTCCGACCCGGCACTGGTCCTCTTTGAGGCGATGGACTTTGAGGAGGGCCCAAGCGTGGAGCTGAGCGAGGCACTACCCGACACGCAGCTGGCCGGCTACGGCACCGTCACCCAGTCCATCCACGTGCTGAGCGGCGTGTGAGTGCAGGGACAGGGGACAGGGGACAGGGAGGGAAGGATGGAGGGGGGACTTTGAGCCAGCACTCACGTTTTCCCGGCAGGTGGGTGGCCTATGAGGGCACCAACTTTTCGGGAGAGCAGTACATCCTGGAGAAGGGGGTGTACCGCAACTGCGAAGACTGGGGTGCCACGGATTGCCGCATCGCCTCGGCGCAGCCCATCCTGCAGGTGAGAAGCATCGGACACCCCCACTTTGCTGTGGGACCCACTGGTGCCACCACACACGGGGCTGGTGGAGGCCGGGCTGCGGTAAGATGCCAACCAGCCCTGTTCTGTCTCCTTCCAGGTTGGGGAACGCAACCTCCATTTCGTCTCCAAGGTCAGGGGCGGCAGATGGGGTGGGGGACGTGCCCCCCTGGGGGACACGACTCCTTGTGGGGTGGTGATGATGCTTTGCCCCCCTCACCGAGCCCCTCCGCTCTCCCTCCCCAGATCCTGCTCTTCTCAGAGCCTGACTTCTTGGGGGACCACATCGCCTTCGAGGAGGACCAGGACGCCCTGCCTGCTGCCTTCATCCCACGTTCCTGCAGAGTCCGCGGGGGCAGGTAGGGTGTCCCGGAGCCTCGCTGCCTCCGGCTGGGGATGGGAACAGGGACATCACCCTGGTGGGCAGCCCCACCACTGCCCATGGGGGCTCCCCAGGAGGGTGGGCAGGACAGGGGTGCTGCAAGAGGGATGGATGCCCACCACGATGGCCTCGTCAGCCCGGGCATGCTCCTCCCCTCCAGCTGGATCCTGTTCGACGGGCAGGCCTTCGCAGGGGACCAGCATGTGCTGTCTGAGGGCGAGTACCCCACGCTCAGCGCCATGGGCTGCCTCTCCTCCACCACCATCCGCTCCTTGAAGAAGGTCCCGGTGGTGAGTGCTGCCAGCATGGGGGCAGAAACCCCCCAAGAACGTCCTTTTTCCCCTCCCACAGGTGCCCCTGGCACTGGCTCTCGAGCCTTAGAGCCCTTCTGCACCCATGGCTGCTTGCTCTTCCTTCTTGTCCCCCTCACGCTTCTTCCCCTATCCTGCAGTTTTTCTCGGAGCCTTCCATCTTCCTGCACGGGCTGGAGTGTTTTGAGGGGAAGGAGATTGAGCTGAACAGTGAAGTGCGGAGTCTCCAGGCAGAGGGTTTCAACAACCACGTGCTGTCGGTGCGCGTTAAAGGCGGGATGTAAGTGAGCCCCAGCATTGCTCTCCCCTGGCTGGCAGGTGCTGTCTGCCTGCCTGGGGGTGACCACGCTCTGTCCATCCCATCCCATCCCATCCCATCCCCTGCAGCTGGGTGCTGTGCGAACACGGTGACTGCCGCGGGCGCCAGTGGCTGCTGGACTGCACCGAAATCACCAACTGGCTGACGTACAGTGGGCTCCAGCATGTGGGATCCCTCTACCCCATCCGCCAGGTGAGTGCTGGGATGGGATGATGAACCCCAAAACCCTGAGAAAGGTGGCTCACATGGAGCTAAAAAGCTGCCAGTGCCCTTAGCCAGGAGGAGGATGTGGCTCTGGGTGAGCCGGAGAAGGCAGCGGGGCACAGCCTGGAGAGCAGCAGCACCCTCTGACAGCTCTGACCATGAAAGGCACTGCTAGCCCAGCACTGTCCCCCCCATATCCCTGTCCTGGGAGTGGCCACCTTGCTGGCAAAATGCTCCCCTTTGGTAGGCGCCTTGCAAAACACCCTGGCATCCTGGGGGGGAGAGCCGTGCCTGTGCCAGCTACAGGAGACAGGCCAGGGCCACAGCCATCACCCTGGGGAGAGGCAGGGAGCGGGAGGACTCTTGGGGCTGCCGCCCCAGGGGACCATGGTCCTCCCTTCCCAAAGTCACAAGCCGAGTGAGGTTCCTCCTCAGCTGCGGCGTGTGGGGCCAGAGGTGCAGGCAGCAGGGCTTTTCGATGCCAAAAAAAAAAAAGGTTTCTCTCCTTCCAGAGACGGATCTATTTCCGCATCAGGAGCAGGGAGCTGGAGCTCTTCCTCTCCGTCCCTGACGACGTGGAAGACATGAAAGCGGGGCGGGTGGTGGTCTCCAGCTTGAGCGAGCAGAGCAGCTCCATTTGGTACTACGAGGACGGGCTGATCAAAAACCAGGTCAGGGCTCACATGTGACAGCCAGTGCTGGGGAGGGGACCAGGGAGCCCCTGGCAGGACTCCTGCTGGGGTACTCCCCACCCCACAGCGATCTTTTAGGGCTTATAACAGCCTTTCCCAGCATCTGACCTCAGCCTCGTCCCCAAAGATTGGTTCATTCTCTCCTCCCCAAGTCACCCCTGGAGACGTGAAAGCATCTCTGTCTTCCCTGAGGAGTCTTTGTCACCCTAATCACCCCCACCTCCCACTGAGGGGTTTTCCTGCTCATCCCAACTCCCACCCCAGAACCAGCCACGTTTACACACCCCTCTGAGCTCCAAGCCTTTGCACCAGGGGGAGGCGATGGAGAGGAACAGGCTGACCTGGCCACCCCCGCTCTTTGCAGGTGGCCCCCAACATGAGCCTGCAGGTCATCGGGCCGGCCGGGAAGGGCGCGAAGGCCGTGCTGTGGTCTGAGACCCGGATGCCACGACAGACCTGGAGCATTGATTCTCAGGGACGGATCCACAGCCAGATGTTTGAGGACATGATCCTCGATATAAAGGGTGAGGACTCGGCGTTGGCACAGGGGCTGCTTTCCCAGGGACCCCAAAAATAGGGTGTTTGGCTGTGAGATGGGGCACACACCCCTTCACCGCCATTAGGTGCACACTCTGGCCTCCTGAAACCTTCCTCTTGCTCCACAGGTGGCCGATCCTACGACCGGGACCACGCCATTGTTTGGGATATGGCTGAGGAAAGACCCACGCAGATCTGGGACATACAGGTGATATGAGGAAGCGGCGTGTGACCCTCACGCCCAGAAGTGGCACTGGGCAGGATGGGGACACCCTGCCAGCATCCCTGCACCGGGGCAGGAGGCCTCCTACTCCACACACATCGCACGCCTCTGCCCTGGCGGCTGGCATGAAGGATGCCCACCATCCCCTCCATCACGAGGGGGAACCACCCCACCTCCCTCCCGGGGAGCCCCATACGTGGCTCACGAAGGACCCCACGGACAGGACTGGCGCGGGACCCTCTGGAGAGCGGCAGAGCCCCCTCCTCACCAGCTCCCCCGTCTGAACTGTATTTATGTACGTGTGTAAGATACGGCCCTCCTCATCTGGGCCAGCTCAGCCTGGGTGGTCAGTGTCCTTGTCCTCGTCCTTGCACTGGCCACAGCCTGACAGCCCCCATGCAGGGGAGCTGCCCCGCACCCCAGCACCTTGCAGGGGCCCAATCCTGCTCCCAGGATGGGAGCCCGGTGCCCTCTAGTGTCCATGGGCCACAAGCAGCACCAGGGCCCTGGGTTTCAAGGAGGGAGGCGCAGGCCAAGCTGCGTCCCCCCCCAGAACACCGAGGGCTGCCAGACCCCACCAGCTCCGGCTCAGGAGGGAGCCCAGCCTGCTCCTGGGGGAGTTCCAGTCCTATCACCCCAGGGCAAGCTCTGCTTCAGCAGCAGTTAGCGTCCATGCTGCAGAGCTGCATCGCAGCTCATGGCACTCATCTTCAAGGTTTGGGGGACAGAGGTCTCCTCCACCTGGATGAGCTCCCTAGGGACGTGACTCAGAGCCAGAAGGGTCATGGGGTGAGAAATCCACACACTGAGACATCAAGCGCTTCTGTCCTCGCTGCTGGGGAGAGGAGATGGCTGCCGGCAAGGGCCTGGTTTGCTGAGCAGGTTGAGCCCAGTTTGGGGAAGAGTCACTGCGTTTGGGCAGCGATCACTTATCAACCCCGCAGCGAAACCGGGCTGTTCTGGCGGCGACAGACAGCGCAGGACCTCCCTGGGAGGTTTCCTTGGCAGACTCAGGTGCACCTAGGTCTTTACATCAGGCATCTCCAGCCGGCTGGTGACTGCTCTGGCTTTCAGCAACAGCTGTTCATCAAACGTCCATCTTTACGCCGAAACATGTCTCCAGTTGCCCCAAGACCTGTTCGGGCAGGAGGATGTGTAACCACAGGAGAGCGGAGCATGCTGCACAGGGACGCCCGGCTCCGATGTGCTCCTCTGCCAGGCCAGCGGGCAGGCAGGCTCTCGCTGGCCACAGCCCAAACAGCTG